TTTGAATGGGAAATAGGCTGCCTTTTCCCCAGCAAAAAGCCTGTGCCTCGCTGTCGGCAGTGGGAGTGGAATGCAAGACAAGCATATTTGCATTCGTGTTCTGCGAGCTCATTGCTTCGGCGTCAATGTTCCCTCACCATGCCTAGAATATTTTGTATTGTAATAATAATATGTATTGGTTTTTAGTTATTTGCCGTCTGCTGGGATCGCAAGAGGCTGCGTAGCTGAGTCGCAGTGCAGCGGCCTGCCCACCAGGAACAGGAACAGCGTCATGTGCACCCCAGGCGCCGACCGCCTCAGAGCCGCTGAAGCAAGCAACAAGGTCGTAGTTAATGCGATTTGAATAGGGTTAATATAACCTGATGATCTTTTGGGTTGCATCTAGGCTTCGTGTTCGACTACATAAACAACCATAAACAACCATAGGGTGACAATGGCACCTCTCAAACTGCTCACAGTCGTCAGTTCCTCGCTCCTCTTCCTGGCCAAAGCGAACGGCGATCCCGCAGCCAACCAGACAACTTATACTGTAGCATTGGGTAGGTTTCCCAGTAACAAGTGTTCTTCTCTGCTTGGCATTTCGCGCTGGGCAAGAACCCGTCACCTGGCAAGTCCAGCATAGTGTGCGGAACAGGGCACAATCCCAGGGAAGAACATGCAGGCTTTCCGCGAATCTAAAAGTTACAGCGTAAACTTTTTTGATTGCAAAGCATTCGTCACAAATTCGCACTGATTTGTTCTCTTTGCCGCAGGAGAAGAGGGAAAATGCCTCGCCGAGGTCAATGCTGCCCGTGTGGCAGCTGGGTTCAGCGAACTCACAAAAGCAACTCAAGCAGCAAGCAGGCTGCCTCAAGGAGGCAAATTTCCACAAAGCGAACAACCTAAATGGGCCTGGAAGCCTGTGTGCGAAGCCTTGATTCCAGTAAGTTGTGTACATCTAACTTCCCTTCAAAGGGCATTTACATCTACTGCGTGCGCAAATCACATCGGTGTTTGTCCATTCTCCTGCTGCTTCCAGACCACAGAAAAATCAAGAAGTACTAGCAATTCTGAGGA